AAAGGATGTCATCGATAAAAATTACCAGTTTGGCCTTACTACAAAATCCAACAAGACATCTTAAAATGCTGCACCCCTCTGTATCAATTCCTGGTGTGTTTTATCAGATTTGACACTTTTCTTCTGAACATTGGTAGATACATTCAGTTGGATACACTGTTAGATATAGTCCGACAGACACCGAAACGTCAGCAAGGTAAATAGTTTGGTTGTGTTAAAATAAACTCTTGTATCCTTTCCCTTTTTTCGGATGTATGATGGGTTTTCAGATGTTTCATCTACATGTATGATCAGTTCCATGATGTGCATTTTATCTTTGCAGGAAGAACAACTGTGACCAAGGCATTACCTTTGGATAAAGTTCTTCCACTCCTGGAGCAGGTGAGAACACACAATCTCACATTGGATGCACTTTGGTTGAAAAAAAATCCTGTCTACATGGTGACCACCTGTCCCTTGAGTGGTCTTGGGCAGTTTTTACTGTATTGCCAAATTCCTTTTGTAACTTTCTTAATTAAAAAGAAATACTTTTAATGTCTATTTGTGACTGCCATTTTAAGCATTTCTTTGTCTATTTGGTGGAGGAGGTTCAATTATTTTGTAATACATGAAGATAATATAATATGGCTTAATTAATAACCACACCAGCCTGTCAAAAGAAACACAGATTTCATTGTTTGGTCAATGTTGCATGATAATTTTGCCTGTTGCAGACAATGTTTTTTCTGATACAACATTAGAAAACTATAGATGGAATGTCCATCCTTAAATGTCCGAACATGACACTCTGTGGAAGTACAATGAACAATACATTACAGGTTTTCACACAGGCACAATACTATATGTTCTACCTGATTTCATTTGTTTGTTTATTCCAGCCAATATCATCCACCCAACAGAATGTCCATGGTCTTGGTTATGGGTACATGCTGTATACAGCAACAGTAAACCAGAAGCCTGAGAGGCTAACAGTGAAAGGTGTCGTCAGGGATCGAGCACTGGTAATGTCTGTTTCTGCCATGACATGATGCCTCACAGTAGAATGTTGCGTTTATATTAATTTATATTATGCACAGGCCATGATAACGTTTGATACAGGTGTTTTGGTTGTGTTAGCATTATCACATTTGGTTATCTCATTGGCTTTCAAAAGGATGCATTTCACATGCGCTGGTTTCAAAAATTTGAATACTAGGTTTGGACATTTGAATTGTTACAATTTTTTGCCTCTGGACACCAAATTTTGGGCACATTTTGCATTGAAATGTCTGTTTTCTAGGTTGTTTATGACATAAATGTAATACAACATATAGCTCATCACCTCGGTACCAGCCTTTCCGTGGGTCAGATTGCCCAACGGCCTTTGGCCCGCAGTCATGCTGGTACCATGGGTGATACGTAATACACTGTGTTGTTTTCTATATGCACACAATACAAGTTCACCCAACTCAACAAAACATGGTGAATGGCATAGTACAATACTAATATCACTCTTTAATATCTCGTGGTTTGAACTCAACTTGTAAACCTTAGCTAATGGAACTGTTCTTTCTTCAATGACTGCTAGAGGGTACGCCATTCATCCTTTACCTTACACCTCAGTTAATCTTACCTCGGATAATCTTACTTTTTATTATGTTTGCATACTCAGATAATTATAAGTTTGTTATAATTGCTGATGACAAGACACAGCCATGCCTGACTGATAGATGCCATGTGTTACAGGTGATGATCAATGACATCTTTGTTGGTGAAATGGATGAAGACACTGAGGACATTGAGCTTGATCATAGTCTGATCAAGGTATGATCTAATCTGTGTTGTGTGTACACGTACATTGTAATTACAAAACAGCAGTACATAGTTATCTGTGGCAGCTTTTATATGTCATTGGTGCTAGTTTTACTGCATGCAGCTGTCTGCCCTTGTTGCTAGTTTTACTGCAGCTGTCTGTCCTTGGTGCTAGTTTTACTGCATGCAGCTGTCTGCCCTTGTTGCTAGTTTTCCTGCAGCTGTCTGTCCTTGGTGCTAGTTTTACTGCAGCTGTCTGTCCTTGGTGCTAGTTTTACTGCAACTGTCTGTCCTTGTTGCTAGTTTTACTGCAGCTGTCTGTCCTTGTTGCTAGTTTTCCTGCAGATGTCTGTCCTTAGTGCTAGTTTTCCTGCAGCTGTCTGTCCTTGGTGCTAGTTTTACTGCAGCTGTCTGTCCTTGTTGCTAGTTTTACTGCATGTAGCTGTCTGTCCTTGTTGCTAGTTTTACTGCAGATGTCTGTCCTTGTTGCTAGTTTTACTGCAGCTGTCTGTCCTTGGTGCTAGTTTCCTGCAGATGTCTGTCCTTGTTGCTAGTTTTCCTGCAGCTGTCTGTCCTTGGTGCTAGTTTTTACTGCAGCTGTCTGTCCTTGGTGCTAGTTTTTACTGCAACTGTC